GGTCATTCACAGAAACATTTTACCTCATTACCATTTACTGGAATATCACCCCCAGCAATAATTTATTCTGATAGGACAATTTCTACTCTCTTGACACGAAACCAAATACAATGCTTATGTCATGCCGTCCAATATCTTCCACAACAAAGGAATATGATTTGATGATTCGCAGTGAAGTGATCGTTTTTTTAGTGAGTCGAACATCTTAAAAATCAGAACAAGACGCAAATAATTAGAAATTCCGAACTTAAAATGAAAATTCCTGTAAAAATCGAGCCAATTGCAATCGTACTTCATCATATCGAAAAGTTATAATATGGCCAAAGAGTAAAAATTTCTGATATTCTTATCCTTGGTAGGGCTTATGAATGCCCATTGAATTCGATGGTTTCAAACTTTTGTCCTATTGTCTTGTTATATAATTAAGCTGTGTAGGTAAAGTTTTTGAAGGGATTTAGTTTATGAACATATTTCTAATTTCATTTTTGAACAAAAGTTATTGTATAAATTCCAATCGGATTTTGTTCCTAGTCATTCAACTTTTCGTCAGATGATTGAGATTTGTCGCATGATTTGATGATGTTCTCTCACTTAATAATTCAAAATTTGGTGACTATGTTGAACGCATCTATCCCATCGAATTTGAGATAATGGATACACCAGATACAGTTAAGTCTGCCTCATATCTTGACTTACATCTAGAAATTGACAATGAGGGTCGGTTGAAAACAAAACTTTATGACAAAAGAGATGATTTCAGCTTCCCAATTATGAAATTTCCATTTTTATGTAGCAACATTCCAGCAGCGCCTGCATGCAGAGTATATATCTCCCAGTTGATACGATACTCCAGGGCTTGTATTTCCATCATGATATCCTTGATAGAGGGTTGCTGCTCATAAGGAAGCTATCAAACCAAGAGTTCCAAGTGGTGAAGTTTAAATCATCCCTTCGTAAATTTTACGGACGCCATCACGAGTTGGTTGACCGTTACGGAATATCCATTTCACAGATGATAGCGGATATGTTCCTAATGTCGTAACTACAATTCTGTCCCCTTTTCCCCAATGTGACCTACCGAATTAGACTTATTACCGGGTTTGCACTAACATGAGCAACACGATGGATTCCACGTGTGGAGCAGGATCTGCTTACCCTTCCGGAGCACCTAAGATCACCCCAAGTGTTTGGTGGGGTTCGTGTTTTGCTTTGTATTTAATTTTCTATGTTGTGTTTTGTGTACTATTGTTTGTCTGTCGGTTCTTTTCTTTTTTAGCCATGGCGTTGTCAGTTTATTTTCGACTTTGAGTTTGAATGTCCCTTTGGTATCTTTCGCCTCTCTTGTTTAGCTATGAAAAATAAAGAAATTACTGGTATGGTTGTTTTTACATCTCGAAGGCTATGACCGCCTTTGATATAAAGACCTTATGGCAAAAAATTTATCTTATTGAATAACAGGCAAACTGTTGGCATATATCGAAAATTATATAATTAATAGGAAACAGAAAGTCCTTTTAAAACATTCAGAATTTACTTGGAACAATAAAAGCAGGCTAGGCTCAGTACTTGTGCCTTTATTATTTCTTATGTTTATAAATGATATTGCAGATTAAATTTAACGTTTAGTAAGACACTTTGCTGATGAAATTTCACTTATGTATTCTTCGAATAATGCTATAAATATAGAGAGGAGATAATATTATGATCTCGAAATTTTAAATAACAGGTCAAAACGGTGGCTTGTAGACTTCAATTGAATAAATGTTTAATACTCGTAAAAAAATCTATCCTATGTATTAAAAATATGATTGATAATTTATTTAAAAAAGACTTGATTACCATAAACATGTGGGTGTTACGTTTTCTACCAACTGCAAGTGGTCAGTCAAAATACATGTGTAGATAACATTTAGCATAGTGCCATTAAATATATCTTTTTTTCTCAGGAAATTAGAATACATAATTAACAGAAACAGTCTTAATAAGATATATCTTGCATACATACCACTTTTAGAATATGAAAGCGAGCTATGGGATATTATTATAATACTAGAAACCGTTCTAACCATAGAGTACCGAGACGTCGGTTTGGCATATTTTTTAAATTATTTTTCCCTTCTTGAATTCGTGCATGGAATTTACTAGCGTTAGATATGAGATCAATTTAGTCATCGCCAAATATAAAAAATATTATCCTGTTGGTACATACATTCTATTTTACTGGAAATAGAACAGAAAACATTTTGCAAACACTATTAAAACACAGATGTAGTCCCCTAAATGCTGATTTATACATATTTAATTTGGGAAATGAGCCAAGTTCCACTGGAAGATCTGATGAATTATTTTCTTAAAATGTCCACTCTGAATGAATTCTAAAAATCAGCTTTTTGTAAATATCCAACACTAATAATAGCTGTTATAACGATATAACATATTGTACAAAACGATTCTTTAAATGATAATGTTGAGGCGCCTTTCTGGTTTCATCTGACAATCACAAGGAATGTTCAAACCTAAAATGTTAAAAGGCAAATATGTGTTTATATCTGAATACGACCAAAAGGGTTATACAAGAATAGCCAAATTCTTCTAAGGTAACATTTCCTGAAAAAGTTGAAACTTTAACTTCTTACTAATGTCTACATTTATCAATGGATAATTTACGAAATGTATTCAATTAATCATCACAGATAGGAACACTGAAACCTAAGCTTATAATATAAACAGTCCACTAGATGTGGGTATGATATGGTATTGATATATACTGTTTACGAACAAATGTGTCGTCTTAAAATCTGCACTAGACGCCTTTTATTGAGTAGAAAATAAATACCTTTTTACCTGGATATCTAGGATGTTTCTTCTTTAATGTTTACTTACGTCAATTTGTCACATTCACATAACACTTTATATGTCGGCTAATATTTTATAACAAATACTGCATAAAATCTACCTGGATAGTTGTAACATTGGGGAGTAAAATTGAATAAAAAGTTTATGGTAAACAATTTGCATGTTGAATTAATTATAAAACATGTAAATGTAGATGACTTTTATGGTTTATTGGGTTGTGGACCCAATGATATACACTAAATGTGTTTTCCAATAACAAGAATACAGTATTTATACTGTAAAATTAAAAGAAAAGTATGTCAATATATCTATATCTATTGGATTACTTGGAACTTTTCCCGCTGATAAGCATCAGATTTGATTTACATAGTGTACCCTATGAAAATAATTATAATATTGCTAATAGATGAATGTATTGTCAATTTTCAATACATTACTGTAACTAAAGATGTATGTGAAATATTCAAATTATACCAAACATATAATTCATTGGTGGTATCGAAACTTCAGGAGTAGGAGTTCAGCCTACTAGAAATAAATGCCATCGGTCATATTGATAATTGTAAAATGCAACCTATCAGAAATAATTACATTTGTCATGTTGATAATTTAGAGTTCAACTAATTATGGCAAACATCTTTTTCTGTCTTAGTTATTTGTTATCTCTAACCAAATTAAATTAAATCAAATTACAACATATGAGATACTATCATATAGAGTGTATGAAAAAAGTAAAATGACAAAAATACCGAACTCCAAAGAAACTTCAAAACGGAAAGTTTTTTATCATATGGCAAAATCAAAAGCTAAAACACACCAAACTAATGGAAAACAACTGTCATATTTCTGACTTGATACAGGCATTTCCTAATGTAGAAAATGGTAGATTAAACCTGGTTTTATAGGTAGCTAAACCTCTCTTATACAACAGTCGCATAGAGTTCCTTTATATTGACAACAATTTGTGAGGAAAACAAACAGGCATATTTAAAGGTAAAAATGTCAAAAATTGGGGTACACCAGTCAACATTATGTTATAATCTAAATCACTATAAAATATAAATAGCTATTTCAACAAAGAAATGGCATATAGACACTCTCTAGACAAAGTACATACGCAAAAATAAAAGACAAGATTACAAAAATGACCATAACACAATAACACAATGGCGGGATATATAAATACCGAGCCATGCAAGAAGTATATTTCCAAACATGGACTAAACAATAAAGGTTGAAATAATACAAATAAAAATGAAAGGAACACTATAACACGTAATTAAGATGATAAGCAACGTCAGTACCTAGAATTTATCCTTCAAGACCATCATGTTTTATTTACGAAGTTGATATTGAATATTTATCAACAAGGTCTTGGTATCTTCCGATGAACTTTGTTTAGAAAAAGGACGAGACGTTCTTTGACATAACCCTGGTTCATCATCTCTCTGCTCAGATACTGATGAAGTTTTTAAAATCTGAGTAGCAGCTGTAAGGTCTTGAATACTGAATGAGTTTGGAAATGTATATCCAATATGCAGGTGAAGTTGGTATATTGCTACTAAGATGGGGGAAATATATAATTTCAAAATTAAAATCGTCTCGTTTGTCATCGATTCTGGTACTGAGATGACCGCTTATTTCATTTTGAGGTATAATTCTAAAAATGAGGCGGAGGAAGCTATTTCTGTTGTTTCTTTAATTTCTAGTTCTGGAGGATATATTTATGGAACCCAATCAGAAAAGTTTGGATTGTTAATGGAAAGAACATCATAAGTATATCTGAATGTGAAATTAAATGATCTGGCTTCTTTGATCTTCTTGTTTTGGGTTAGTGTCTGAATAGCAGTTTGATTTTCCATATTTGCTCTGAGTTAGATACTTTGTAGTTTGTTCTTTTTTGGCGTCGACAAAGCTTGTTGAGAACATTTCGTTTCAAATGGAAATATTAAATGAATTATAAAGCAGGGAACCACTTACAAATCAAATTGAAAAACAATTTACCACGGGTATTGTGGGGCACATAAAATGACGTTAACCTTCAGCAATGTTAAATAAAATAAGTGAGCGTAGCTAGGTACCAGTAGTGGTGAATAGTGATATGATATTTAAGTGTTGTAGATTAAAGTATTATCTGTTTACAGAGATCCTTGTAAAGGAGGAATCTGTGATTCCAGTGAATTGCAGGATACACCCTTATGTTCTGGCTTATCAGTTGGTATTCCTGCTGGTCTTCACACAGGGAGCCTAATGGATAGTGCACAGTAAGTATTTAAAACTTTACATCAGGTCATGAATTTTATTAGCATGATAACAACTTTGGTTTAAAACTGTTTATAGAATGTTGAATTTTTCAAGACAGTAAGGATTATCATACACAACAGGCATTGACGGCCTTAGCCATATTAAGCACGTCTTTTTAAAGCCCTGTTTGTTTTTTTTAAAGCTCCTTAATTTCGTACTTGATTTATTCTTTCACATGTTTTTATTCGCGCGACACTGATGAATCTGAAGTAGACAAAACGCACGTCTGGCGTACCAAATTATAAGCCTAGTATCTTTGATGAGTTTGTTTATTCATCATAAATACATGTACTTATTTCAACGTCACCACTGGTGAGCTGATGATAAAAGTTATAGAAAGGTAGTAAAATTCATTATGTTGTCAAAAATATAAACGCATTCATATTATAGCTGAAGTCCTTATGAATGTTATCCCATAAATGCACCAATCAATATAGTTTGGCGCGCATATAAAATGGTAATGTGCATGGATATGTGCATAAAAGTTACGCATAAGGACTGCAGATGAATAAAAATGACATATTAGCTAAAACTCTAAAAGGTATAAAAGTGTAACTAGTGTTAATTCATATACTACCATAGTACGTATACAATACGAATATTTATATACAAATTAAGGTCAGACACAAAAATTGAGAAACCGTATGATCTCCAAAACTAAAAGGAGCAAGACCGGGTGGGTCAACGGGATAAAAGTCTCCTTGTATGAATGCATCACCCGCCTTAATAGCGAATCATCAATCAGTCGAAATGTCACTATCCAGAATAGAACACAATCGGTAAATATGCAGATCAGGCGAATATTCTAAAGATCTGAGACCGTTTAAACATGTCGCTAGCTAAAATTAGTTTATACATAGACACATTTTAGACTGCCAACTATGTCATTGTGTGTTTATGATGATATATTATGCATATATATGTATTTATTGGGGTGTTTTTTTCAGTGTAGAGACAGTCCAAAAGAGTAAAACATTGCCTCATTTTAACAAGAAGTATGATCCCTATCAACTGCATCTGTAAGTAGTTATTGTGTATTTACAGATATACTTTTGGAGAAGTGTACATACTGCTTTGGGTTTGGGAGATCACGATGTCCATAGTTAAGGCAGACTTTTGGCTGCATCTGAAAATTAAGTATGGAATCACGAGTATATGTTTTGGCTTTTTAATGAATATCAGTATCTTCTCCTACTTGTACTTTTCGGATTTTTTCCCTGCAGTGAATTCAAAATTTAAAATAAAAGCGCAAGATTAATTTTCATCTGTATTTACAATCATTTTATTATACTTACTGCTGATTCGTGGGATTCATTTTTCAACTTGGAAATGAAGAATTTACTAGATATTGTATGTTTCCGGAACTTTGGATGTTTCAAAACGGGTACCTCAGATCTGATTTTTTCCCTGCACTGAATTCAAAATTTATAATAAAAGCGCAAGATTAATTTTCATCTGTATTTACAATCATTTTATTATACCTACTGCTGATTCATGGGGTTCATTTTTCAACTTGGAAAGAAGAATTTATTAGATATTGTATGTTTGCCCAATAATAGTGTTTAGATGTTCTGTCATATTTAACTTTTAATCTGAAGACATGCACTAGTAATTGGTTCGGCTATTTTGGATCTACAATATTGGTAATGGACTGAAATATTACTTGTTTGTACTACATACAAGTTGTTTCAGTATTCTGGTAAACTCATGTTGCAAATAAACTAAGAATATAGGAGATCTAATTGAGTTGTATTTGCTGAACTTAAATTTAATATCACATATACATGTAAATATATGATAAACAAATGTCTTCCGTCAATCTTTAGTTTAGTTCTGAAAGGTATATCAGCGTCATACTATCAATTAATTGTATAGGAATTTAATTGTAGTATCATGCATCTTTAATCTGAATAATAAAACTGGTATCATTAAGGTTGTTTTGTGTCATACTTGCTGATACACGACAAATGAATTAAATGTGGATGCAAAAGGATAACACCAACTGTATATAGACATTGCCAGATTTACCTCTGTTTATCTAATATTTTGCAATGTATTTTAGGTTAGAAACAGAGATTAAATCCAAAGACGAATGTATACGAAAGCTGAAGTTAGATCGTGAAACTCTGAAAAAACATCTCTATTTGTTGAAGAATAGTCGTAATTCAGCTGAAAAGAAAATGAAAGAAATAACAAATCAGTAAGATTTATTAGTTTTAACGAATTTCATTTAAAAAAACAAAACATCTCTCTTGGCACTTAAAACATGAAATTTTCGAGCCACATCTTTAACTTAAGTGTATAATTAATGTAATGCCGGCCTCCCTTTGTTGATAGTTAACTTATGTCTGTATATTTTCTTGAAATTATTGAGGATAAGAGGTGGATGTTAGTGAGATGTTTAATGTTGAAAATAATATAAGAATTGCTATTTGTTAGTTTGGCTGTTGGTTTAAGGTGTGATTACCAAAACACAGTAGAGTTTTGTATGTCAGGAAGTTTTGTTTCAAAAAATGTCTCCCTTTTTTAGCTGTATTATTACGGCAAATGCTCAAAATACTTGTTTATGGGATTATAACAGAACACCAAGTTATTTTCTAAAATTGTTATCTGCCATAAAATGTAATTAAAACTACACAACAGACTCGTGCAGAGATTGGTTTGTTAAAATAAAGGTTGAGAATTGTTCCTTTGGGATTTTATTCTCATTTGTGCACTTAAAATATTAGCACCAAATGCAAATATTTTTTTCTCTGAATTCGGTCTGTCGGGATTTCTTTTTAGTAAAAATATATCAACGTCCGATATGGAAGTAAAAGAACATCAAAGAAACCTAAAATGATTGACAACTTTATCAACATTTCCACTTATATAATTCTAATAAGTCAGAATATGAAAATCATAAATGAGAGCACAATTGCCCAGATTAAAAAAAACACACACTAAATATGACATAAAATCAATCTAGAAAACATACAAAGCTAGACACCATTATAGTATATTTTTTGGTGAAGACTGTATTTTGGACTTCAGAAGTCTTTTGTTTTTTATCCACATTTTTCTTCACAACTTCTTCTTTCATAAACTTCAGACGGTGTATATTGTTCCCACTTTCAGTTCTAAGTGTTAAAGTCTGTGTTCGAAAACGACAAGTATTTTTATGTGTTCAGCATCCGTCATTCGTGGTGATACACAATGTTCAAGTTTATCTTAAATAGAACAAATCCGTACAAATATGTAACACATATAAACCCGTGTCTAGTTGGAAGTATTGCCACCATCATGGTCTTAGATGGGTCTTACAAACACTATATTAAATGGAAATTGAGATAAAGAACTATCCAGGAGTGTTATTGTCAATGATGATGAGAATGATCCAGGTTCAATCCCTCAATTTCAAGCAGACTCAGCTCTTTTGTCTTATGTTCAAATAAAGTGATAATCATTGCATGTAAAATTAACACCTTATACATACCTTCAATTGCATATAAGAGAGAACTGGTTCCCGGAACTTCGGATGTTTCAAAACAGGTACCTCAGATGTGACACAAACCGGCAACATGTACCCTCATTTTTAAATTTCAAGCCTTTATTTAGTATTCAAAATTATAAGTCAAAAAGTGTTCTACAATGATCACCAGTAATTTAGCTTTCATTTGATGCTAAGATTACCAAAAAGTCTAAATATTTTGAAAGTTACACTCATGCATAAGAACTATTTTGTGTTAAAAATGTACTACCATGGAATGTGCTTTCTGACCGGGCCCGAATAGAGGGTGTTACACCTTATGATCATGCTAATGATTAATAAGTGGCAATATGTATGATCATGTTGATGATTCAGGAGTATTATTGTTTATTGTAAATATATGTGCATCCTTTACCAATTGTATATAATTGAAACAATTTAAGGTTTGAAGAGGAGGTACAGAGAAAAGATCAATTGCACAAAGAAGAATTAGAAGCTGTTACCAACCATAAAAATCAATTGGAAGATGACCTTCGAGAAGTGAAAGCTAAAATGGAACATCAATTAATAGCTCAACAAAAAGAAGTTGAAGATCTAAAAGCAAGGTATGCATATTTTAGAATTGCTTGTCCATTTTCAGCGAGTCATCATATTCAGTTGTGCGAGACATTTTTAATTTGTCAGGACCGACAATGAAAAAGAGATGTACCTGCATAAATTATTCGCTCAAAATATTATACAAGAGCATGTTTTCTAAACGTGTTGCAGACTCTTTTAGTAATATATTGAATTTTTATCTTTAGACAAGGAAAACATATCCATGACATGGCGTCGCAAATAGAATTTCTGAAGTTGGAAGCACAGACAATGGACGATGCTCATCAAAAGGCTATAAATGATGCAATCAATGAAAATCAGAAAGCAGAGGAAAGAATTAAACAGTAAATTAGGATTGTTTTCTAATTGATGCTAAATAAAGGCAAAAGTAGTATACCGCTGTGTAATAGTCATAAATCGATTTAACTGAAACAAGTCCGGGTCACAAACCAAAACCGAGGGAAACACATCAACTATAAGAGGAAAACAACGGAACAACATAAACACTGAACTGCTACAAAAAAAACGACAACATACATAGAAACGGACTATTTGATAACAACTGCCATATTCCTGACTTGGTACAGGACATTTTAAGAAAAAAATGGTGGGTTCAACCTGGTTTTATGGCTAGCCAAACCTCCCGCTTATATAGCAATGTTAAAAATACCGCTAAAATGACAACATTACGTGACAGGAATACATTACAACTAAACGCAAGAACACTCAGGATAGAGACATACATAAATAAATAATATATATACATTACAACATGTAAACCACAGAATAACAACGGACACCTCCCATTTACACCACAATAGAATTATGAACTGTACGTCACACGAATGTATCAACGCCACAAAAAGTGACGTCACAGGTAAACATCTAAAAATATAATATAAAATTGGAATTAAGTTTGTAATGGTGTTGTTTTATGTTTTTTCTAACCATTACAAGAATATTAATATAGAATTGTGTTAGTAATGGTGTAATTATTTGTATTTTCTAACCATGTCGGTTTTTCTTCTAAATGAAAACTGTAAAAACAAATAAATCATGTGCATATAGTAGCTTTCAAATTAAAATCATATAAATGAACTAGCTGATGATTAATTATCTTAGCTAATGCTTTTGTATTTATATATTTTACATGCAAAATATTTAATTTTAATTATTAATGTGTTGGTATCTATGTGGACAAAAAAAAACGAAAAGAGGCATTTCGATACTATATTATCAATAAAATTAAGCATAATATTGTGAATGATAAATTCAAAAACGATTGGTTTAACGTTTAACTTAATTTCTCGTTATAAATATTAATCAAAATAGTTAAAGAAAATAAGATTTCTAAAATGTAATTAGATAACTAATATGTATTATTTAAGAAATGACTGTAATATTTTTTTCTGTCTATGAAGAAATAACATCAAAAATGTGGTGCACACTGAATAACTCGCGTAGCGGGTTATTTGTAAGTGTACACCACATTTTTTATGTCATTTCGAATAGACAGAAAAAATAGTACAGTCATTTCTTATAATTTAATTCTAAATTCCATTTTAAACCGTAGTAAACCATGAAAAAACGTTGATGACGTCACGGTCACATGACAAAATTATGTCTATGAGCTGATAAACAAAACAACGTGAGCCAATCAGAAGACGCGTTACATCCAAAATTAAATTACTAGTTAATAATAGTATTGGTACCAATAGTACTGTACCAGATACTTATTTTGACCATTATTGTCTCCTTAATTATTTCTTAATCTTGCGCTTATTCTATAGAGTTTGATATATTATATTAAAGGTACATAGAGCTTCATGAGATAAGTAAGCTTCACATAGAAGGAATGAAAGACCGTGTAGATTTGCTTAAAAGAGGCTCACAAAATACCACGTAAGATTTTATAAATTTGTATAGAGTTCCCATAGTTCATTTTAAACATTCAAATTAAGTGAAAGTAGATGGAAAAATGTCGTCATTTGTGTTGTTATATATTTAAAGGATTCCATTTGGACAGAAAAAAGTAAAGACGAGGTATAAAGAATAATGTATTGATGAGTTGTTTTAGTTCATATTTTTGTTTTTATTTTCAAGTTCCATGTATAAAAAATAATAATTCAATTATTCTATTTTAAGCAAAGAAACGGAAGAAGAAAATCAACGAATAAAGGCAAAGCTAAAAAGAGTTAAACACATGTTTAATGAATGGACAAAATCAAGCTCTAGGTTAAACTTATACTTAGTTGGCTAATATACTTTATGGTTGTATTAAAGAAACTGAACTTGGTGACAGATATACATCTAGTTAAAAGATTAAACTCACACTTCTCATTAAAAATATAAATCGTCAACTTTCTTATTATTAATCAACTATGCGTCATTTAATAGAACAAAAAAGTGAGATGGAATACTACATTTACAAAAATGTGTATCTTGTACCTCAACCTTTATACAAAACGTACAGTTGGAGAAACATTGTCTCTAAAGCATGAATTTCGTTTCTCTATTTTGAAATGTCGATTGATGCAGTTTTTCAATTAGCTGATACAATACTCCAGAGCGTGTGTTCATACATTATTAGAATATATTTTCTTTTCAAAAGGTTGCAGCCTACATTAATTTGAAGTATATTGTTCTCTTAATCAAGCTGACATATTTGCGTCGGAAAATTTACGGTCAAAATCATTTCGAAAATTGGGCGAACCAAAATTGTAAAGCTAATAGACCAAGAAAAAATAGACCAAAAATAATTGAAAACTATACACAGAATAAAAACTGATTTACAACAGATAGTGAACCCAAGTGGACCGGAAGAATCAGTGGTTCCTTATTCATTAATCGTTTAGAAATATCTTTTTTAGATATAACAACCAACAAATTTTTCCATGCTTCATGATAATATTTATTTATCACTAATCATTCATTACTTATATTTAACTTTGCTGTTTTTAAAATATAAGTTGTTGATTTTTCAATATACATTGTAATTAACATTTAACGAATGGTATGATTGGTAACTCGTCTTACATGAATGCACCAAAACAAATGTAACATACTTTTTTAACAATCAAATAGATGAAAAAACTTTTAATTCTTAGCTACTTATCGGTTTATATGTATTTCACATATATTTCTATCTATTTCATAAACATGTAGTAGAAACTATTACTATACCTTAATGTCATACAAGGTCACTGTTCGTAATATATAGTTATATCTATCATTTGATGAAAGCCGAACATTAATCTTAATCTTTGCTTTTCCAGTCTTAACAACATGATGGCATATGAACTAAACTTGGATGATGTATTCATCGAATCTGGATCGAAACAACAACAATGTAGGAATCAGACTGATACACAAATCTTTGATGCACAACAAGCCTCTGATACTTTGGGTGCACAGTTTATAGGCGCAAGCATGTAAGTGAAACAAGTACATCATAGATAGTAATGTTCACATGATATTTATTCGGTTTCTACTCTTTAATATTTCCAAATTAAAACGTTAGAAGTTGTGCATTTACAGATACAAAATGCATTTAGAATAAAAAAAAAGTACAGATTAAAAAACAGACAAGTCAGTTTGGTCATCAATAACAGTTTTAGCAATGAATTTAAATATAAGTAATGTGAAAATTTAAACAGAAGAATGCTACAAATGAAATTTGTTTGGTCGGTTAATTATCAGTCATTTCAAACATGTACTTAGATATGAAAAAATCAAATTATATTTTTGGTAAAAATTTTGAAGTAAAAAGTGATATATCCTGGTTTCATAATTTTTTTCCTTTTATCGTTTAGGACTGCACGAGAAAAGATGTGTTTAAACAACGAAGAAAGTACAAAATTTGTAGGTGATGAAACAAGCGGAAATAATACAGCTAAGCATATGTACGTATTGTCTTTGCTTTAAAGAGTATTCGGCTGATCGTATCTTTTATTTTTTATATTATTTTCGCATGATACCTTGGGAAACCTACAAAAAGTCTAAAGTGAACCTCGTACTTTAGCAGTATTTCATTGTAATTCCTACCACCAAAATGAGAAAAACATAATTGCTATTTCTACATACTACTAAATACAAAAGGGTCTTTTTAAATGTAATCGAATATATATATTTGCAAATTTCGCATGTTATTGCTAATATGTAGAAGTCAAAGTATTACAATAACACGTTCATCTATAAAATAATGAATGTTTATAAGTGACCTAAGACTGTAATTATGACAAATTTTGTCTGTTGTAGAACGTCTGTTTCATACACAGCAGAGCATATCCATATTATACAGAACTCACAAGTTAGTCTTGCAGACAGTGGATATGATGCACAAAGCTTAATTGGAGAAATGGATAGAGAACAGATTACCCAGTAAAAACAATTCTTTTGTTAAATTTACATTAAAAAAGTGGAGATAACAATGTCCTTCAACAGTGTCATATATCGGCGGAGTATTATGTACATAAGGGAAATAAACTGAAGGTTCCGAAATAGATAGATTAGTCATGAGAGTGGTTGCAATATTGTAGAAATGATGTCGGTGAAATGTCTCATCTATTATATGTTAGATAGAGCATCCAATATGCAAAAAGACGAGCATGCATATGGTGTCACATAATGGGTTAAATAACCCAGTGGCACTTATTTTGTTAACAACATTGTTCGAAAACATTGTTTTCATATTTATTATAAAATGTGCATAAACTCCATTTGGCAAAATACATAGGCAGGAAGTGCTAGAGAATCATTGCAGAAGGAAGGAAAACGATAGTGGAGGAAACTAATATTTCACTTCTGTGATTTTCGACATTGGCCAGACAAAACTGAAAGTTTATAAATTTAAATAATCTTTTGTTGATGGTGCGTCAGAAGCAGAGTAATAAATCTATGAAATGACAGCAAAAAATGAAGACCATGCATACTAACATTTTTGTGATTTATTTCTGTTCATAATGGGAACTTAAAGTATGCCATGTACACCTTAGTAATGTAAATATATTTTTGTTCGTGTAAATGGAGTGTTCCTCCTTGTAAACGTTGATACGATATTCCAGGGCTGTATTTCCTATCATGATTTCCTTAATAGAGGTTTGCTACTCACAAGGAAGCTTTTAAACCAAGAGTTCCAAGTGGTGAAGTTGAAATCGCCCCTTTGTAAATTTTAACGACGCCATCGTCAAACGAATGACCGTTATAGAATATCTGTTTCACAAGGGAGGGATTGATCACAGACTGCATACTCAATTTTTGTAATAAATTAAAAAAAAAATATTTCATCAAAACCAACTGATAGTTATTTTTAATACCCATATTATACATGACTTCCTTAATATATGAATATAATGATAACCCTTAATTTGATACAATGTCTCCTTTTGATTTGTATATTTTGTACTGGGTTTGCACAAAGAACATCGCAAGAGCAAAGTGAGTTGTCCTTCTTTACATATAAATTGTTATGTTATGCAATTTTAAGTAATGTTACTTTATATAGAAAAGGGGATTTTGCATAGGTACTGAATACACTTAGTTATCAGGTACATGATGTCATCATACAAGTTATTACTTGTACAAATACAATTTTTATTGACAAAAAGATAATAACTTGTACAAATCATTATTCTACCTTGGCCTATTTGATTCACTGAAATATTTAGGTTCAACTTTCATACATTTTAACTCTTTTGGCAAATAAACTGTAAAATAATCCGATAATAAAACATTTTGTACAAGTAATTGCTTGTATGATGCCATCATACAAGTTATTACTTGTACAAATACAATTTTTATTGATTGATTGATTGATTGTTGGTTGCTTAACGTCCAGTGGCAAATATTTCATGCATATTCAGGACGAGAACAAATTAACAATACATACAATAGGTAGGTTCTGTAACAGGGGCGTCCGGGATAAAGGTCGGATTAATTTAGACTGCCACGGGAAATGAGGGTATATTGGATAGGGACAGAAATTTAGCCTTGCAACAGGTCACCTACGGACCCCTCAAAGAGTTGTTGCAAGGGTTCTTAACGTGCAAAGAGCGTGGCACTCTCTTTACACGAGGCATCGGATTTAACGTCCCCATTCTGATTGAGAAAAAGATAATAACTTGTACAAATCATTATTCTACCTTGGCCTATTTGAAGTTCACAACAAATCAGTACATTGACCTGGTAGATCTAATGAACCTGTCAATGATATTTTAATACCTCCTCATACTAAGCCTACAAAATCCAAACAGTTTGACAGTGATGATAACGGTGGCACGGTAGTATTTCCTGGCCCAAAATTTAGAATTTTCACCACTTTCTAACACTGCCCAAAATTCTACATACACAGTTAACTGAAGTACTTTCATTATTATATTCAGAAAATTTATTTGAATATATATGATGACCGTTTACTTTTTTTGCTTATTTCAGAAAATAGTGCTTGTATATCTTTTATCATGCAGTGAATACAAAATTTAAAAAATTCTAAAAATTCATTTTCACCTGTATGTAAAATTATTTCCTATTTTTCTACACCTGATTCATCCCTCAGTTTGGGGAAGTATGCTCAGTAGATACTGTATTTTTTGTCCAATCAAACTGTTCAGATACATTGACTTAAGTACACAAAAGAGCAACCTACATTTCGGAATGTAAATACTACCGTGCCACCTTAATGACACCTTCTTTACCTGAATTTATTTTTATTTATCTGGATCATATTTTAAGTTTGATTTTATATCCGTAATGTTTTCCTTTTATTGTAGCATATATCTTTTTTGTCGGTTTTTGTTCACTTCTGTTATATCGTCCAACCAGAATAAAGATTTGTGACATCATGCATGCCGTTACCATAGTGAAGCGTCCTTTATAAATGGGTCACAAACCGAAATTATACTGACTGTGTCAGAAAAAAGAAAGGAAAAATAAACACACAATATAAATTTCAAAAATACTAAGCAAAAAACAAACAAACAAACAAATCAGAAAAAAAGTGCCCAACAAATGACAAAACCAAAATAAAAAACCCAACGAAAGGAGTTTTTGAATAAAACATTTTAAAAAAACAGAAGGAAGAAACAAATATAGTTCAAAGACAGTGAGTTGTACAAGTAATTATCTTTTTCTCAACAAAAATTGTACAAGTAATTACTTGTACAATTATATTTAATTATAAGTAATATCTTGTATGATGGCATCGTACAAGTAATTACTCGTACAAAGTTTTTGTACAAGTAATAACTTGTACAAAATAATAATATGTACACGACACACATATATATAAACAAGTCTAAATTCAAAACAACGTTCAAACCTATGATTGCGTTGGATAAAAACCGCAATTTTTATACGTGTGCATGCAAAACAAATTTCTTGTTAGAGGGGTCTAAATACAGCACAAACAACATTTTTCTAAAGACCAAAAAAGTGAAAAAGTATATTTTAACAAAACGCATTTGACTAACAGGTCGAATTACAAATGTTCTTAAACCTTGCTGACTGCCATTGGCGATTGCCAAATAAACGGATCACCGATGTAATAAATGGATCTTAATTATAAATTTAATACTAAACAGAAAACAATAAACCTGCGGAAAAGATGGTATACCGCAAACAAAAGGTGCAAAGGTTTTTGTACACCATATCCGGATTTCGACAATTAATGTCTCTTCAGTGATGTTAGGAATCGAAACGGTATTTGGAAAGCCATACAATTTACCTCAATTTAGGATAGACTCTTGAATTTTAAGGAGTCAAAATAGGATGAACGGATCATATAAACCCGAAGGCAAAGATAATACAAGCCCAAACGAAAAAATATAAACAAGTCTAAATTGAAAACAATATATATATATATATCTTAAAAAGGTGACTCTTCGATCACTAATGTAACTGCTCACAGCAAACCTTTTACATGATAAATATCACTGACATATAAAGTGTGTTATATAAATATAAGAAGATGTGGTATGAGTGCCAATGAGACAACTCTCCATCCAAGTCAAAATTTATAAAAGTAAACCATTATAGGTCAAAGTACGGTCTTCAACACGGAGCCTTGGCTCACACCGAACAGCAAGCTATAAAGGGCCCCAAAATTACTAGTGTAAAACCATTCAAACGGGAAAACCAACGGTCTAATCTATATAAAAAACGAGAAACGAAAAACACTTATGAACCACATCAATAAACGACAACTACTGAACATCAGATTCCTGACTTAGGACAGGTGCAAACGACTGCAGCGGGTTTAAACGTTTTAATGGTACCAAACCTTCACCCTTATCTGAAACAATAGTGTAACATTACTACATAGAAAAACACACTATAAAATATCAATTGAAATGGCTTAACTCAATTAAAAGACATATTAACAACAGTGAACATACACTGAACAAATAAATTTGATCTATGATAAAATGCAAATACAAAATAAATAAACTAAGGGAAGAAGAATGAATGTAACATGTTATACCGCTGTGAAATGTTAAACAATTTAAGAAAAACAATATGCTTGAACAAAAAGTTCAGCCATTTGCAATTACTTTAAACACAGGTAAATAAAAATGATTTTGTTGTTAGGTATACGTGTACAGTTCAAATAGAGAAAGGAAATATTTTTACAAAATAAATAATTTTGATATTCATAGTACGAAGAAGTGAAAATTTTATAGTAATACCAAACACTTATCAAAGTTGGTATATAGACAGGATATAACCCTGAATAACATTAAATAACAAAAAAGCATTACAATTAGTATCAACAGGTCAAATAAACAAGAAAGTACGATTTGAGAGTACTCGCAGTTACTGACAGCTAGTTAAAAGCCAAAAACAATTAATAAAAAACCATGCATCAGAGACTAAAATTAACTAAAACATATCCCGGGGATTAAGTATTTTAACGTCATGGACAGTCAAAGAAGACATGACTTGTGCAATGCCAAAAATAATTGTATCGACAGGCAGTAGGCTAGTAAGGAGTTAACCTCTATATAGATCAAAATGAACGTGGGTGTGTCTTTATACATCCCGTTATATACATGACATTGTTTTAATGATTCTAACAAAAGTAACTTTGTTCTATCATATAATGACAGAAACTGCACATCATTGCATCCGGAACTTAAACCAACAATCAATTCACTAAAACATTGCATCATCTTTTCCTCTGCGTTCAGGCAATTCATTTAATAATTGAAACTGCTTCTTCTGTCAAATATTTACACGGTTAAAAGTCATTTGTATTTAAAATAATGGTACACCATTACATAATATAAGTCAGTCATTTGGAAGACCGCTACGTTTACTATTAAATTCATTGAAATATAATGACTAAGGATTGCTCAATTCAAATTAACTTTTTTTTCAAAATTAAATAAACACACAAACATGGTGGTTTGATTTTTATCTTGAAACAAGAATAAAATAACAATGAAAAACGAACTTTTAGTCTTAGATACATGATTTGTTTTTGTTAGTTGTTATTGGCTTTGAACTAGCTGTCAGTAACTGCGAGTACTTTCAGAACTGTAATTAGTGTCGTTCTTGTTGTTAGGGACGAGGGATGGATAAATACCCTGCCTGTCTGTGTTTTTGTTTGACGTTTTTCCTGCTTTGTATCGATCCGATGAGATAAGCCTTTTTTTAACTGATTTTTATAGTTTGTTCTTATGTTGTGCTGTTACACGACTGTCCCAGGTTAAGGGAGGGTTGAGCGCTCACAAACATGCAATTGTTTAACCCCGCCACATTCTGTATGTGCCTGTCCCAAATCAGGCGGAGCCTGTAGTTCAGTAATTGTCGTTGGTTAATGTCTGTCATATTTGTTTTTTCGTAAATTGTTTTGTTATGAATTAGGCCGCTAGTTTTCTCAATTGAAGTGTTTCATATTTTTCATTTCGGGGCCTTTTAAAGACGACTATTCGGTATGGGTTTTTTTCATTGTTGTAGACCGCACGGTGGCCTATAATTGCTTACATCCACTACATTTGAAATTTTGTGGATAATTGTCTCATTGGCAATCATACCACATCTCCTTATTTTTATATTGTTAATTCGTTTTTCCACATAAGCAAAAATCTTAATCAAGGATATCAATCCGTCAAAGAGCTAAACTGGTATTCCAGATTGCTAAGGAAAAGTTTACCTTTGATGGATTGGGCTACAGTTTATGATATGAGGGTGCAGTGTTTGAACCAAGGGTCAAACATTTAGTTGCTTGCATGGACGAGTTTTTGTCATGTCATGTCAAGCAAAAATATACAAAGTCTGGATAGGACATATAAATCAATTGTTTTTACCTTCATGGTCGAGGTTCATTGTCAGAGGTCATCTGTTGTACTTTTGTTGTACATACGAAACATTCTTAGACACATAATTATCTGACGTTATTGTCTTGATAACCTGTAACTTAGACATGGTCTCCTTTAATA